GTTGCCAGGAAAAAAAGATCAAATACTCTCTCTTTCGATCAATAAACAGTATTATTCCCAATGTTAAAGAAAATCATAGTGAACAAAAAGTTCGGATTGCAATAAGCTCGTTTCTTTTTTGCTGAAACAAATGATTAGCTTTTGATACGTGAGAATTATGGAATTGATACATTATGACTAACATATATGCATACATTATTTTGATAAGAATAATGCTAATGTACGGGAGGGAGGTAAGAAAATGATCGGGATTGGGAGATTTGAACTGTAATTACTAGTCGAGCGACTTGTTGCTATTATTATTGTCGTTGTAGTTGTTGTTATTATTAGAGACAATTTTTTTTTTTTACTGTTGTCTTTCTACCACTAATATTATGAACATTCCGTGACCGAATTAAAATATTCTCTAGAATTGGGGCTATTGACAGAGAGGGGAGAGCAAAAGAAATTCTATCTCCCAACAAACATCCTAATCATCAATCATCGCGGTTCTCTTTTTTTTTTCGGACTCTACTGTTTTGGCTAAAAAATTCAGTGCTAAATAGTTTTTGGCTTCTCTTAAATAATCAAATAATCTATCAGCTTTCTCGTGTTAGTTTCTCAACTGCTCTGTCGAAACTAGCTGAATACCAAGTGCCGATTATTATCTGCTCACCCGTGATAGTCGACACGACAAAGATAATGTTGCGACTTTCGAACATCGTTTTTTTTTAAAAAAATAAAGCAATGGATTATTTCAGCAATCTTGGAAATGCTTTTTTTTAACACACTACAGATAATGATAATTGCGTGATCAAATGTGATTTGGGTGGGACTATAAAGTAGTTATTTAATGAAAGTGATTATAGGCAGATAGAATTTTATATAAATGGTTTTGGTCAGCAAAATTGGTGATTATAAACGGTAGTTGACTGTAATAGCAGTCGTACAGTAATTTAGTTAATCGATTGATTTGGGTAAATCAGGCGTAGACGAAAAAGGTGCTGGCAGTTCATATAGTATTAAACGACTTGCCTTTGCGCTACGATTGGTGTGTTCCAGTGTTCTATAAACGAGTGGGTCCTTATATTCTGAACGTATACGGTTATTATTTAATTCTCTAGTATTATTCAATATAGCCGATAAACCGTCAATTCCTAATCGTTTAGGAGTATTCGTTCCTGCAATTACTTTTGTGGCATTACGATAAATATTTGTTGTAGTAGAAACGCGTTTGTTATAAATAGAAACTCACACCATGGCCTAAAATTACCGAAATCAATTCAATCGGCAAAGAATAGTAACGACACTCGAGGATAATTATTTATCTAGGATTGACATCTACCGATCGACGTTGTGTTGTGAGTAGTAAAAGCCTGGTTTAGATATTTAACTAAAATAGGAGACGCCACAGCTCTGTCTGAAAGATAGTTAAATCCCAAGAGTTGACGATCCGGTGATTGTTGACTCGAACAGTACACAGTAAAAAAGCAAGCGTTGAGTATTTTTTTTTCTAATTTGAGCAGAGCTCTGGCCTATAAAGCTGAACGTATTTATGATGCTATCTGACGAAACTAGACATTAGTAGAATCACTATCTGATGCTAACCAAGTCCCTGATCGATCAGACCTGATATACTGAAATAGCATAGCACAAAATTGTGAGCTGCAGTATATTTACTAGCATAATTTTCTATATTGCGAAAATTAAAGTAAAAATATATAGCCAGAGTTTTTATAACAAGTCTAAAAGAAGTGTTCAAAATAAAAACGATCAGATTATCGAATAAACAATAACACGCGTACGATAAAAAACAGTAAACGTGTTGAAGTACTAATTAATCAGATAAATTTAAGACACATAGTGTTTTAAACGGCAATTTATTTACTAATAAACCATTAATATTAAACTTAAAATAATCGTCTTTAACGACGCATTATTATAATACGTCAGTTGTTTGATAATTTTTGACCGCGTGAAATTATTTTACAAACAAATGATTATATAAAAACTTAAGTTTTGACATTGCTAGTTGTAGAAAAATCGCAACATAAAAAAAAGGTACTAAAAATAATGGCATATTTTTCTCGTGAAGCTTATCGGTCTTGATTTAAAAACAATAAAGCGGCGCGTCAGTAATTTACAATAAGATAACGATTGCTTATTGGACAAACCCCCATCTGAACGTACAATTAGGCGGTAGTTAGAACAACTTTAAAAAACATTGAAGATTTTTCTCACACAGGAAGACCACGAGAAGCTGTCACTAATGAGAATGTTCAAAAAAACAAAGTTTTTTTCTAGAAAATTCTCATTCAATTATCAGAGCATTGTCATAATAGCAGGATTTCAATTGACCGGTTTCATTACATTTTTTATGATAAACTTGAGATGAGAAAAGTGACAGCTAAGTGGATTCCACACAGGTTGACAGAAAAGCACAAACAAAAAACGGATAGTATGCTTAAAAATTCTAGCAGGGTTTTGTCGGATCGCCACACGTGGGAGAGCGTTCGTGTAACGACCTTGGGATTTAGTCGTTTTCCAGCGGAACTCTTAGGCTCGTTCCTACTATCGCCAAATTTCTATACAATTAGTGACTTAAATAAGATTTATCAATACTCACGGATATCGTATCCGATTATTTGTATACGCTTTCTCTGGATTTTATTTAACCTCCGAGTGAAACAACGATTATGATTCGTTAAGGATTATTAACGAAAATCTATCGACGGGGAAAGTTTAATAATAACGCGCGTTAAACGTGCAATTAAATAGAAATCCCAATGCCTAAGTTCCGATAAGTTCAATGGCAAGATCAAACTTATTAACCGCTGATCGAGAAAGAGATTTTATCACTTAACCAGCGATCGAATAAAACTCACCAGGGAATGAATGAAAATAACAACTTATATTAATTACAGGTTTATTAGAATTCAAAGAGCTATTCTAATTACAAGGATTATAAGGACAATAGAATAGACTGAAGACTGAAGACTTAAGACTTCGTTCAGAGCGGATAACTATCGCTGCTTATATACCTTCTATCGTTCCACTAATTCTGACACTGGATTTCGATATAACGGCGACTAGTAACACAACTTTTGACACTGCATCGACACGTCTAGGTTACATTTGACACATCTAAGTTACACTAATCTAGGATTCTATTTCGATGCCGATTTTGTATCACTAATACTACTGTGCCACTCCGCCGATCAGTTTAGCCGCAGAAATTCAATGTGCCGCAGACGGAAATGTTCGTACACCAGGCGGAAATCACTGAGGAATACATCGCCTTTAAGACCTAGACTTGACAGTTTCAATAATATTATGACTGGTGATGAAGCTTTTACACTGTTTCAGAAAAAGAGAGAAATAAGATACAGATTAGTAAGGGAGAAATTTAGCCAACAGTTGTTCGAACGGCAAAAACACAGTCGAAAGAAAATGTTTTCTCTATAGACGGTGTTATAGCCAAAAAGATAGTGCTTGAGGGAAAAGTGTAAATGGCGAGTTTTACTCTATAAAAGTTACCGGGGGTATTTCGAAATTTTAAATGTCTTAAGGGAAGAAAAATGGTGCGCAATGTCATGCTCACACAAACCTCAGCAAGTTCTAAGATCTTATAGAAAAAGGAGGCGCTAAATTATTCCACACCTTACCTGTAGCCCGGATTTAGCGCCACGTAACTTTTTTCTCTTTCCAAAGATCAGAGAAGAGTTGAAGGAGTGGCATTGAAAACTTAGCACGAGCGAATGTGGAAAAGCGGCATTTCACAAAATCTTTGAAAACAGGCTTAAAAACTTGGCAAAGTTAAATGGTCGAAACAGCTCACGTAATATCAGTACGAGCAAAGTTCGGTTAAAATCTCCCGATCCCGAACAAATACACCTATTGCTGTGCTCAAATGCCAATTGAATCACAAACGGTGAATGTACCACCCCATGACAAAGAACTTTCTATAAAATTTTTCGAATTACTAGCATTGTTATTGTGGCTCTTAAGATAAAAATTATAAGCAACAATTATTAGTCGATAATATTAACCTTAACTAGTTAGTAATCGAAGTAAGTTATTTATTCTATCGATCTTCTTTATGTTATCGAACAATAGGAATTCAAGCATCAAAAGTTTTCTATTATTACTATCTGCAAGTTGATGTGGACGATGAAATGGGAACCCAAAGTTGGGAACGACCGAAACATTTACTGTACTGTGAAGTCGTAAATTAGACCAAGAAACAAGTAAAAAGGGTTTTGCAGTGTAAGAATTTTACCAATATCACTTTGCATTACACCCTTCTAGATATCTTTCGTTCTAACTTTCCCGCCCAATAGTCATTGAACGCAATAAGTAGGCTTACTTAGCAAAAATAGTTTTTCTTTGAATAGCTGTCAGATGTTATTAAAAGTACGACGATTATGATAATAATAAATATCATTGCCATTATACTCTTCGTACATTGTAGCATTCTATTTTGTTTTCCATTGTCATGATTTGTTGGGTGATAATTTTTAATATAGCATCCTTTATTTCATGCTTCAAGGATGCACTGATCTTACTTAGTAAACTAAGTTTAAACAATCATTGTAGCTAACGATGATAAGCAAACAATAGTTATTAATTTCTATTACGTAATTCTAATCTCTATCGGAGATAACCTACAGTGTGTCACAAATAGTCGCACTCAAATCAATGTGCCACAAATTTATTAAGACAGAGAATATAGGTAATAAGAGGGCGTCAAAACATGAATACTGTAGTGATAAGACATTGTCTAATTGAACGATACGATTGTTCGAACCTAAGAACAATAGCTACGCTATACATGAAAAGTACCCCTGGGTGTTATTTATAAATACAGCATTTGCATTTTTTTTATTTTTCACCATCGCTTAGTGCGTTGAACAACATACAAAACGTACAAACTATTCAAATCACACAATTCAAACTATTCCAAACAAGCCTAAATAATTCGAACAAATTTAAACAAATTTAAACAAACTCAAACTCTCAAAATGAACGGAAATAACGCTCAAAACGATATTCTCGCCGCTATCGTTGAAACCCTTGAGAAGCTCAAGATCTATGGATCCAATCCAAACGACGGTCCAGCTGGTAGCAACTGTTCAATAATGTAAACGGAGTCTGTTAACCGATCCCCAACTCGATAATTAAAGACCAACTCAAAGAAGGGAAAATTGTATCTGGTTTTTTAATATTCCGAAGTTTAACTCAATGATTATTAGTTCAACTTTGTTGAATTGAATTTATTGTATATATATTATATTTAATTTTTCAATTGATGTGATCGATTGAGGTTAATTTGTTGTTTTGTACTCAAACTTTATGTATTAATCGCAATTTTGTATTAACTGGAAATGTTTACATTAACGTTATTGTAATAAATCGCTTACGAAGAAATTGTCTTCATAACTAATATAAGTGATATGAAAGAGCGTGCAGACGTCAACATTGTATATGCGCTTGCAGCGTATGTGGTAAATCAATTAACAGAGAGCAAAATGGCTTATTCGTAAACGAACATGTGCCATCGACCCAACAATATGTTCAATACAAAATACCTTAGAATTAATATTTAAGTTTAGAAACTTTTTTGGCATTTTTAGGAAACTATTTGTTTAGTAATACTTGGCCCATTTGATCTTATATGCACAATGTGCGTGCTGTATCCAAATTTATGTCTCTACCAAGGCATATAAGAACGTTTACATAATTTGGCTATAACAAATCTTTGCATAATCGGCATCTGTCCGACAGGATTTTGTTAAGCAAAGAATTTTATAAGCATGTTAAAAACTACGTTGACTTGGTTTCTGTAATTGAGTGAGTGTTCGAGAAAAAATTTGATATTATTAATGCATTGATAGAATGGCTGTTGCGTAAAGCTGGTGCCTAAAGCCGGTGCTCAAGTTAAAAAATTTATAGATTATACTCCTCAATGAGCTTTGACTTTAGTCGTTACTCCTGAAAGTTTGTGCATGACAAAGAAAATTGGGGTTCCAATCATGACGTATTTTACAGCAGCTAAATGTGTTATTCAGATATTTATTAATTAAATTGTAAAATATAGTAGTGCGATTTAACTACACACAATTTAATTGGATACATCAAGTCAACTACAACATAAACTTATGGCAAAAAAGAGATAGTAGAATAAGCCAAGATTAAATTATATAATAAAATAATAGAAATGAAAGTTAAATTTATCAATTCGTTAGAACCAATTATGTAATTTGTCTCTCAGAGACTTCAACTTTTATCAACTCTCGGTTATTTAGAAAATTGATTTACATAATCGAACAGTTGCTGCCAGCTGGACCGTCCCGCGGGTTGGATGTATAATTCTTGACTTTCTCAATGGTTTCCATGATTGTGGCAAGGATATCGTTTTGAGCGTTATTTCCGTTCATTTTATTGATGGATAGTAGTATAATAATAGAATGCTTTCTGGAGAAGATTGTTGTTCGATTTGTTTTATATGTTTGATTAGTTTAATTCGTTTGATTTGTTTGAATCGTTGATAGCCGGACTTGTTTGAATCGTTTGATTTCGTTTGATTTGTTTGAATTGTTGGTAGTTGACTTGTTTGATGTGTTAGATATCCTTCGAGATTTGTTTGATTTATTTTACCAGCTTGGTCAACCAAGTAATGTTGACGGAGAGGTAATGGAAAAGCTGTATTTATTAATTTTATTTTCTATAGTCAGTGCTCATAAGTATTGTCTTTGGATTTAAACAATGAACTAAAAATCCGGCTACGTACTGGTTATGATTGTTCGATATGAAAAAAGTTTTAATGTGATAATACAATGCTTCTGATGATATCACATTTCAATCAATGTTTACGGTTGGTCATAATACATCTGTGACAAGGTGCAACAATCCTGCATGCCACTTGTGCTACCATATATAATTAAAGTACCTAGGGGCGACCCCCCACAAGACTATAAACGGTATTTCAACGCAGAAGCTGGTAGGCAAGCTCCTGTCCAGGCTTTTTTTATCCTACAATACAATATATGTAAACAATACACTATTTATGTTCGTTGTTTTTTTCAATTGTTAATTGAGTACCCCAAACGTTTGCAAATGCCTAACGATTGTCTCTTAGATAATACTAACGGCAAGCATATCATAAAAATAAAAGCTCTTATCGACAGATGGAACATAAAGTAGATGGGAGATGAATCGTTGGTATAAACATACGGCATGTATTAACAGCGTTGTCACATGAACTAATAATGCGAACACTGTTAGATTGTTATCTAAGTTTTTTTATTCCTAAAACTGCTTGGACAGTCGATTATGTCAAGAATGCGGTGTGATAGTTATTTAATTTTGCAAGTGTAATGTTAAATAAAGTCAAGCGCAAAAATAACCCAACACACTGTATATTATTTAAATTGGAATTTAGGATGCTTAATGTATTAGAGATGTATACATATATTTCTTGCTTTAAAACATAATACAAACAACATTATCCTGGGAGAAACTGTTGATGAGCTAACTATTGCAAACAGTGTATTCTTCGATTAAACTGGATCGGAAATGATGCATACCTTTGTAAAAGTTATTTGAAGCTGCTCACGTTATGTCTTATTTTTGAATAGAAATTGACGTAATACTTGTTAGCCTTCTGCAGGGAAATTGTGATATCCAGCATGAATTGTTCAATTTTGGGATACGAAGGAATACTGTCTGTTTTTCAAATTGGTAACAATTTCGTTAAAACACCCTTTAAAAACGTTACATTGCTCTCTCTCATATGAATAAATGAAATAAATTAGAGAAAAACATTACTATAAGGAATGAATTGCATGCGATACTTTCCGATCCCAATATGTTTAATTGACAGTCGGACTGATAAGAGAACACACAATCAATTGTCCTGACTAAGACGTAAACGAATTGGAGGTACTCTTAACAGTCGCTGTAATAGTATCTCTAATACTCTGTCTATACGAAGATTTTGGTATACCACTCTTGTTTTCCAAATGCTATGCGTCCATAGGATTTATTATAATCAACGTTAAATAATATGAGTAACAGATATTATGTACTACTCTTGCATCCCTGCACCAAATCAACGTATTTGGTGAATGAAACTGTTATCGTAACTAGTAGCACTAATAGTACGTAAAGGCTCTGAATTATTTAACCGAACCGAACCCGAGCGTTTCGTTTCAACTCCAGGCTGTTTCAGCTTTAGCCACAATAAATTAGTCATGCTTGTATGGTAACTATCGATTGTTTCTTTGTCCCACATCACACACAAATCGCCTAGTTTTTGGTCACCCTTAAAATCATGTCGCACTTTTTCTTGACCACTACTACCAATTAGCAAGTCATAGTATCGTATAACACATAGATGAAAGATGTCTGCACATTCGTGTTATGAGCTATAGTTTTTTTCTATGCAAATTTGGCTCTGCGTTAGGTTTCAAAATTACCGAAGATATGTAGTAGTTTGTAATTTTAACCTAGTATAAAATATCGAACCATGCCTGCTGTTCTTATTTGTATTGGGCGAAAGTCTGGCTTTTTGTTTTTTCCTGCGAAATGAGGCCATTATCGTAGCTTTTAATACTATGTGAGTTCTAAAATTTTCGGAATTGATTGCATTGTTATCGAAAATTAGCTATTACAACAAGAAATTCCGATGAGCAGAGAGCGAATAATTGGATTTTGTTTCCATTTAATGTTTGTACCTTCAGTTCTTTGGATAAAGCTTTATTTGTGTCGGTTTTGTGAGTTTTACGGAGAGATTACTTTAAGCACAAAGTTGAGGACAGTAATGGAAGAAGAAGAATTAGACAAAATAGAATTGATAATTTAAAGTGAGACGAAATTGCACATTGACTTTAGGAAACTTGTTTATTTAGCAAATGTGATGCTACGCAAATCAATGACGTATTCTCTCCTTTATTTCTCCGTTCTTCCGACGTGCCGCAGCCAAATCAATCAGCGGTAACGGGTCTGTATTATTTCATTGACAATCATTTCACCGACAGTACATTTCACCTACCAAAAAAGGATAACTTTGGTGAATACTTGTCGGTGAAATGAATTGTCGATGAAATGACCAGCGCAGCTGCGGATTTCGGGAGTAGGGGTACAAGCGTTACGGGGGTACAAGCACTGGTAATATGAGAAGTAGCGCAGCACTAATGCTAAAACAGTGCTAAAATAGTGCAGAAATAGTGCAGAAACGCTTCAGTACATTCTAAACGTATACTAAAGAATTCGATAGATGATTAGAAATAGCTGCTAAGAATAGATCATTTAGTCCGCTCGAAAGATATATAAGTAGCGTAGATTTCAGTTAGATAGAAAGTTAGTCAACAAGTGCATGTTTAGCATGTCTAAGTACTCTCGATTCCTTAATTGTAAATAAATGAGTAGTTCTTTATACTCTGAAATACATTGTTAATGATTCATTCCCTGGTAACTTACCGGTATAGCTAGAAACCGCTAATCCCTATATCGATAAAGAATAGTCGCCTCTTGTCCCACGATTATTCGAGTGGCAAATTACAATAATTAATTATTATGTAGATGCGCATTATTATGATTTATACACCATTGTACCCCAGACGGGAGATTATCGGAATAATCCATCGATAATAACCGACGATACACTCGAGAGCGATTACTTATCTAGGATTAACGTCATTCTACGGTGAAAAATCCCGCAAGTGAAAAGCCTTTAATTGACGAGGTCACTAACTGTAAACCAGAAATTTAACTAGAATAGGGCTAGCTAAATCCCAAGTGTCGATTACTATCTGCTCTCCCGCAGTAATCGGCACGACACAAGCAAATTTAATAAGATAGAATATATAAACATAGTTAACTCTTTATGAGTGTTGTTCTAAATATGAATAACTTTATTAATAATTCACTTGTTGAGCTGTATTCTGATTCTGATTATGATACAACTCAACCGCTTTGAATACCCTTTCTCTGCTCATAGCAAAACCCAAGATTATTATGTACTCAAGAGAAACTGCTGCTATACAACTCTTAAATATGCTGTTGAGTATTGAGGGACTAAAAATAGATTATTCTGGGACAAGTAAATATGCAAGACAAATAAAAAATCATAAATAATTATTGACAAGGACAAAAACAGTTGAGTTTAGAAGAGAATAAGGGGCAAAGCAAAGATTAACTGGAGTGCTTTCAAGAAAAAAACAGCAAATGAGATGGAAGAATTAGTTTGGATAAAAATGCCTGCTTTCTGATGATACAACCAAATATTTTTTGAATATTCTTTCTACTCTAATAGTAACGTCCAAGATTTGTTTGTGCCATAGCATCCCCTTGTTCAGCTGCCTTCTGATACAACTCAAATGCTTTTTGAATATCCTTTTCTACTCCTGTACCATTTCTATAGCAATTACCAAGATTATTTTGTGCCCTGGCATGCCCTAGTTCAGCTGCTTTCTGATACAGCTCAACTGCTTTTTGAATATCCTTTTCCACCCCCATTCCATGCTCAAAGCAGGTGCCAAGA